GGCATTCCTTCAGATTCAGCCCAAAGCTTGCAACAGTAACAACCCATTCCTTGTTTTCAGCAGAACATCAGGCCCAGTAAAGCTGGCTTCATACCTTCCCTCTTCATGTCCTGTTGCTTCTGAAGACCATGCTGTGAAGAACTTGGGGCCAAGTATATACACCACAGTCCTGGAAGCAGTAGGAGCGGTAGCTCGCAGCCTGGCCGGAGGCACTCCGGTGCTCACAGCACCTGCTCCCCAGCTGGGGAGAACCAGGCTGGCGCTCCCGGACCTGGAGACGGCCAGCGAAGTGCTGCTGTACCCTCCTCTCACCCCTCACGCTCCAGTATCACTCCAAGGGATCTTTCTGCAGTATTTGTGTGACTTTCTCTGGCCATTGGGATTTCATAGCCAGGTTTTGAAGAAGCACACTCGCAGCAGTGATGTTTCCAGTGGTGCAAATGCCCCTCATTCCTTATCACCTCCCTGCGACCACATGGAAACTCAACCCCCTTGAGAGCCCACCAAAGCAGCCACTGCCCAGCAGCCCCAGGATAACAGGCACCAAACACTTCTTCCTATCCACCACACCAAGCTTCCTCGGCATCAATTACTGAGCCAAGGTCTTAAAGGCCAATTGTTCTCTGTGTCTTCTCTTGTACACGTATCCCTCAAGCCGCTACCTCCTCCAGGCCCTGCTGGTAAGCTGACAGACCATGACCGTGGTACCAGAACTCTCCACTGCCCATGAAGCCCTCCGCCAGCTGCTCTGCCCTTCTTTGCATTTGCTGCATTTGGTGATGTCCAGTAATATTCTTTATGTACATCCCTGCTTGCAGGCCAAATGGACCTGGCTAGTACTTTAAATAACTCCCCTCTGAGCTTCATTTCCGCCAGTCTCAAGCTGCAAAATTATTTCTGAGTACTTTATCATCTCACAGTGTTCGTGTTTACACACTGCACACTGGGTTATCTGCTTCTGGGAGACGCAATCTCCTCTAATTTCATTTATCTCTCAGAAGCCTAACCTGTTCTTACAGCAGAGCTGGCACTTGCTAAGATTTGTCATTAGCTAACCTCAATGATGAGCTGAACACATCCCTTCCTTTGAACACAGATATCTTCTAACCAGGACAAAATAACAAGAGGCCTATCCTGTCTTTACACAGCAAATGCAAGAAATCTTCCAACCCTTGATATCCCAGAAGCTCTCTCCTTCAGGCAGATACTCTTCCCTGTCCTTACACGCTTTCATCCTCTGTCCTGTAGAACTATATATTCTTCTGAACACAAGTTATCTTCTATTTCCAAGAAAAGAAGACTCCATATTAGTAGGCACAGTAGTATGATCTTTTCAGCATCCTTTCACACTTCAGCGTATTTCCAGCTTCTTTGAAGTTTCCCATTACAAATCTGGCCTGCTGCACCTCCTGTTTGCTGCTGCAAATGCTCACGTGAACCTCCGTCCCTGAACCTTCACAAACAGACTTCTGATACAAGAGACATATCACTTGCAAGACCGTGTCCACCACGTGTGATCCCTACGTGTTGCTCTGCCAGAGCGTACGGCAGTTTTGCATCTTGATCCTTTTCTCAGTAAGAGTTCCTGCAACAGCATTCAAGCCGAGCATAGCCATACACCTGGCTGCTAATGACACCTGGAGAGAAGCAATGCACGGCTGCATTACTGTTGACATGGTGCTGTACCATCTTAACACTGAATTACAAATACACAGATCCCAGAAGTACCACTTAGCAACAGTTTTTAAGAACAGAATTTACAGTGAAGTAACACGGAAGATGCACAGCAAACGAGCATTGCTCCAGACAGCTCCCTAGTTGCTTGATCAATGTTAGGTTCAGACAAGAACCTAACAATTCAGAACTTGAGCCCTGTCTTATTTGGCCCATCTAATTCAGCTGCGAAAGACTCAAAATCATCCATTTTCAAGTCCAAACCATCAAAGTCCAGACACTACTGGTATAGCCACACCGCCCTGCAGGCATTATGGACAGGTTTCTGTACCCCACATCGGGAAAAACCCTCCCGCTGACATTCTGACTAAGGTTCACAACATGCAGTCCCCACTGATTGCTTAGAAATCATTATAAAGGTGGAATACGTCAAATACATCTTTCTGTAAACTATCCCATTAGTCCATTTTCTCAAAAGCCATTTCTCACCTAGCTTTTTGTTTTGCTCTTTTGTTTTGATGGGAATTTGGTGTACAATGCATTTGAAAACAATGTTCTCGGATCTAGAGAATTTGGTAGGAAACCTGGAAGTTCTTCCCTAAAAGAGAATTTTGACTTCTTTGACTGTTGCTGAAAGATGCTCTCTTGAAGACAAGTTCTCCTTGGTGACACACATGGATCCCACAGCTGCCTAGAGGATTCATATCCAAATAAATAAGCATGCGATTTACCTGTCCTTCTATTGAATCTGTTAATTAAATGTCAGTTTTTTACCAGCTATCTGTTAGGTTGAATATCTAATATATTTTCTTGCTAGACTTAAGTCAACATATTATCATTGGGTTATCATGGTAAAATTTATGATTCAATTCCAAAACAATTACCGATTAACTAATCACTCAAAACCTAAAAAAACTGTAACTGTCAGACTTAAGTGAGAGAAGGGGAAGATCCTCCTGTGTCAGACATGAAGCCCTCTTTATCTGATGGGAGTTGAAAGTCATATCTACCATGTCTGACCAAAAATGTAATTTTACCCAGATCTGCAGTAACATCCCAGCTTTGAGCTCTGACCTAAACATCATATGGCATTAATGATCTTCATGAGATATTAATTATCTTGATAAAGAGAATATTCTGGTCTCATCAAGATTTTGGATACGCTAGAATACTATTAATGTTCAGGATAAACTCAATTAATAAAACTCATTAATTTCTAAAATGTTACTTATGCACATGCATTATCCACAGTCCTCGGATGGGTGATCTCTTAAGTTGGATAAAATCTTGTCATTTTAAGAATGTCTTAGGTACAGCACAGGTTCCTCAAAGTACACTTGAAGGAATCTCACCGGAGTAACAACAGAAGAAGATAACTGAGTTACTGAAGCTGCTTCACTCGAAGCGTTCAAAAGATTTTACGAGGAAAAGTTGGGGTTCAAGCTGGCAAACACCGCCGTAACCAAGTGGAGAAGGGCAAACCGGCGCTGCCTGGGCCAGCCCTGCAGACCTGCGATGGCTGCTCAGGGCGCCTGAAGGGCCATGCGAGCAACGGCGAACATGTGCACAGCTGGACTGAATTTAGCTCCGCTAAATTTAGCTCCGCTAAATTCTCCCTTGCTCAGGCAAGGCCACGATGAGGCGACACGGTGTCAGTTGTAGTGGAGCAAGTACAGTCCAGCAGTAGCTTTTTCTTTCTCCTGCTCCGCATCCCCCAGCTATGTCCTGCGACAGCCCAGACACGAGCTGTGCAACTGGGCAAGACTTTGGTCTGCCAAGACAGTAACGGAGCCCTTCAGTCGTAACTCCCCTGCCTGGCCCAAGTCACCAGCACCCCACAAATAGCAGAGCCAGGAACAGGCTCTGGGAGTCTGGACTCCGAGTCTCCTTTACTGGACTAAGATGCCCACTGTATATTTAGCACCCACAGCATGTGCAGTGGCATTAGATGATTACGCTGACTGGGAAGTCTTGTAAGGAGAAAGATGATGCTGAGTAATTTTTTAAAAAAAAATCAATGAAGAAAACAAGTAAATACTGACTGCCAAGTACTCAGCAAGTCAGAAAAAAGCAGGTTTCATAGAACTAAATAAGCAGAAAAAGCCAAATGCAGCATTTGAAAAAGCACTGCGTTACTGCTGACTCTCCTTACCCCCGGCAGAGCCCAGCTGAGGGGGAGCAGAGCTGAGCAGTCAGCTTCGGCACGTCTTAATGCAGGTCAGTCGAGCTAAAGGAGAGAAACAATTGCACTGTACCTTCACACAGCCAGCTCCCTCCAAACGAGCCACTTGGTTTTTTTCCACTGCAGATGGCTTTGGCACCTCTCGCTTTTGTCTCCATTTGGGTGCGCTGCCAGTTCTCTCTCTGAACCTGCCCTCTTCAGCGCGACTCCATCTGCAGTCATGTCAAATCCTGCCGTCTTGTTCTCTGAGCCACAAGGCTGCTGCTGCAGCTCGGTGGAGGAGGACCTGTGGGACGCCGCACCTCACACTGCCCGGGCTGGGCAGCCTGGACCGCAATCAGCTTCTGGAGAAGCTGCTGCACGCTGTTGTTGGTGAGGGACCCCAAAGAGCATGCTGAGCCAGCCCAGCCAACCGAGCACCAACATCCCAAGTGAGAACAAACAGACACCAGCCAGCTGGTGATGGAAGCAGCTTCCTAGGCACTGCTGACTGCCCGACCACCCCACTGCAAGGAGAAGGCAGTTAAGAACAGTGTAAGGCAGGCACTGCCTAACAACAGCAACGCTTCGCTTCTCAATTTGAGACAGCAAACTTGGCCAGTCCTGACAGATCTCCCTAGAGAACAGATCCACAAGAGCCTCACAGTGCAGGGACAAGGCACCATTACCAACCCGCAGCACCTTCGCAAACCACTGTGCCGCAAATGTCTTGGTTCCCCTTGTCTCCGTGACTCTGGCAGTAACTTCTCACTTGACATTTCTTAGTCAGGGCTCCTCCTCCAGGACATCAGCTGAGCTTCTCACTCTTCAGTGTTCCCACACACAGCAGTGTCACGGCTCTTGGCCATCAGCTTCAGTTTTCCTTTCAGCCTCGTGCAGACTTCAACCAGAGCTTTCCCAGTTCCAGGCCACAGGAACCACTACAGGTTTTACTGCTCTTCGCGGAGCTTCCACCGCAAGGCGGCGGCTGCCTTTGCCAAGTCTTGCCTGTACTTTCAGATAAAGCAATGCTGAAGGAGTCAGGATCACAGGCCACAGGTGGGACCCTCCGGACACAGCAGTAACTGAAGGCAACATTCAAGCACTGAGGAGGAGAAGATGCTTGTGTGGTTTTGTCACTCGGCTTTCACTATTGCCTGACAATGGAGAACCATGTGATAAAGTTGTCTGTGCCAAAGCACAGAGGGGTCTGGAGGGGCCAGCAGCAGCCACCCAGCCCATCCCAGAACAAGCCGGCTCGTCCCCCCGGGCACAAGGCATGGCCCAGGCTCGTCCCTCCAGCCCTGTGCTGCCCAAAGGCAACGCTAACCCTTTGCTTCAATCAGTTGTACCTAAGTGCACGGTGGATTGTGGTCACTGCCTGCTACCCACCAGGGATCCTGGGAGATCTGCAAACTCATTTCAGTGCTGAGCTCACTCCGAATTTGAAGGAGGATCTCTGGAGATACAAGACCAACGCATTAACACAACATGCCATTTAGCTCTCACCTCAGTCCTTCCTGGTGGAACTTGTTGATGAGTAACCGTCAATTACAAATCAATGTCCCTTTTGTTTTCTGGCATTCTCCCTTTCCTCTGCAGGATTTGCAGAACAGCAATTAACATGTTCTTTTTTTCTGTATGATTCTTCTTTATCCAACTCACTTAGAAGTAAAATTTTCTTCCTCCTTACAAGTGCACGACTTGTGTAATTTCCCTCTCAGTCAGCTTTCTACAAGTACTGTTCGTATCCCTTCCTCTGCTCTTGTGCGCTGAACAGAATTGGTAAACAACTCTTACATTATGGATGTCACATCTATTTTCCATCTAGCTCCATTTTATCTTTCTTCAGTGGAATGTAATAGAGGCCATATAATTTACAAAACTGTTCTCCTCCTGACCTGCTGCACTTGCTCCATTCTACAGAGAATGAACAGCACTGGAAAATTTATACCTCAGCCCACTTCAGACTTTATGTTTGGGGCTATTTTTTGTAAGACTGTTTTTGTGTTACCTGCTTATATGTTAAGAAATGGATCTTTTAACTCATTTCTTTCCAAGTGTGCTAATTTCAGTAAAGAAAAAAAATCTTCATCTCTCCAGTCTGACTTCTCTTGGACACTGCCACCTTCACCTAGCACTGCCCATCCAAGAAAAGCCTGCAGTCCTGTCACCCCCCCGCAGTACGATCCAACCATGGATGTATGGTCTACCTGCTCTTCTATGTCCAAGTACAAACAGGGTACCTTCTCTTCACAGAAACGCAAGTATCAACCATCTTATTGCTGTAAGAAAACCATTTCCCGGTTCTATATCCAGCCACTGCCGTAAGCAATAATACTTTGCCATCCATGATGCAGGACAAATGATTCCCAAGACATACTACATTGAATTATCCTACTACAGCCTGTTTTGTACGTGTCCTACCACCTCCTGCTAGTACAGGCCTAACCACATGCTGTAACAGATGTTAAAAAAAATTGAAATACAGATTTTTCTATTTACCCGAACAAGTGAAGCTTCAGTTTTCTAGACAAAGTCCTCAACACTCCCACTGACAACAGTAGGCTATCTTTGTGACCACGTATAATGTCTTTGTGGCCACTGAGTAGGGATTAGCACTTTCCGATATCTGTATGAACATCAGCTACAAATTTATGCTCTGCTAATACACGGCCTTAAGTAGTTCAGCACCTGTGCCAGCAGCAAGCCCTGCTGCGACAACGATTACAAGGCAAAGAGCTCACTGCTCTGATTTTGTGGGTATGATCCTCCTTGGAAAGACGGAAGTAATCTTCTGCTTACGAAATGGTCTCTGTGTAGCAATTCAGAGCAGACGTTTTATAACAGCAAAAGCCCAAGATGCAACTCCACACCTGGCTGCCCAGTCAGCCCCATTACGTGGCAGGAATGGCCCCCGGGACGGGCAGAAAGGCTCCTTACCTCAAAGCAATAGTCTTGTCCCAGGATGCTACTGTGGACTGGCTTGATGACCACTTCTTCCTCCATACTGAGATCCAGAGCCTCAACAGCACTACTGGGACTGAGCAAAGACTCGTGGGAGCGCGATTCTTTCAGCCTCGGCATTAGATGGGATCTAGAGAAAAAATGTAACAGTATCAGCGGATGTTTTCCTTCCCAGAGAAATTATTTAGTCCATCTGTTAGCAACAACTGCAGAATATTCCTGGGAATTTTTTGCCATGAGATAACCGAGGGCCCAGAATAGCCGGGACTGCTAGACTGTCCCATTTATAATTTGGTGAGCAGGTTCTATTACAGGCTGTATGTTCAGTAAACACGTTTTTTCTAAACTCTGCTGCCGTCAGGACTACATTATTAGAGGTCAGTAGAGTGCGGGGTCTCTGCACAGCTGAGAATGTCTTTAAATGGCCATCACACCTGCTGCGTGAGACCTTCCACGTGCGTTGGGAGTATGAGTGGATCAGGGAGGCCGGCGGGCCCCAGCACGAACTACTGTGCACATCAGTACCGCAGACCCGGTGCTGAGCTCCGGTGGTGCTGAGCTCCGGTGGTGCTGAGCTCCGACCGCCAGCACAGGACTGGGTTTGCATGTGCGTGGGAGATCCCATTAGCATCCTACTTCATTTCATGCTGTTTTGCAGCACCCAGTCCCTACCGATAGAAGAAAGTTACCTGCAAATGGGGAGGAATTAACGACAGATCCTTCTAAAACCCCAGACCTGTGTTCGCTCAGTGCGTACAGAGCGTGCCCGGGCAGCGGCCGGCACTGCCAGGGCAGACGCCATCCCCGTGCGTAGGTACCCTTCTCCCCACCAAAGCACACACATCTGTATCGCGGATGCAGCCAGTGTGTGGATCCGCACCCTGTAACCAATAACCCGAGGGCTCGTGTGCTCTCTCCAATTGTTACACACATCCCCGGGACGGGGACAGTGTGGAAAATAAGGCCATGATAGTCCTATTGATTGATCTAAATGCTCTGGAGTCCCACCGGCAGCATTTAGCAGCAGGGAGCCCACAGACAGCAAGCAGCACACCATTTTCGAGACAGCCAATACAATCAATGGTGCTGTAACTCTTAAAGCAAAACTAGAGAGCTCAAGGGGGAAAAAAAAAGAAAGACAGCTAGGTAATCCCAGGGAAAACAGAGCAAAACCATAAAGTGGCAAGGGAAAAAATAACTTGAGAGCAAAGGGAGCAGTTGCCTTCTCTATAGCCTGCGCCATGTAAAATGTTCCTACGCCGGCCAGCTCACAAAAGCTGGTAGCTCTGACCTTTAAAACCTCTGGCAAGCACTTTAGAGTCTTCCAAAGAGACCACGTGTCCCTCTGTCTACAAAGAGAGTACGACGCCTTTTTCAAAGGCACGGAAGGACAGAAATAAGGGGAGTTTGAGATATTCTCAGCACGGTCTTTTCTGAGCAAAACAACAATGCTCCCAGTATACTCTCAGATTGCTTTGTCTGTGTGTGTTGAGTTCTGTCGTTCTCTAGAATAAAGCTGACCAAAACACAGAGAAATGCCAACAGTGCACGCAGAATTCATAGCTTCCAGTGAATCACACATCAAGCTGAACCTAGAAAATAGCCAAAGGAGGCTCTAAGATAAACAGCAGTGGAAGATAAACAGGTGCTTCTCTAGATTTGCCATTAAGATTCATGCCATCGATGAACCCCCAGGTGATAACGGATGAGCCCACACCCGGATTCTCCAGCTGAGCATGCCAAATGAACAGCTCTGAAAGCTGCAGGCCACCCCTCCTCCCCAGCGGCACCGCAGGATACCAGCCTGGAGACGCGCTGCCCAAAGGTGAAGGGACAGCAGAGTCTCCAGACACTTCCCTGCGTCTCCTGAGGCTGACAGCCAGGACCAGCTGTGGCGATACCTGTTAAGGCATCTGCAGAAAAACAGATGACGGCACCACAATCTTTCTTAGGGGACAACCACCAGCCCTCAAATGTTAGAAGCCCTGGGTTAGCACAGCCTTGTGCGGTATCAGAAGCTGTGGCTTTGAAGCAAAAGGCCCTCTATCCCATTAGCAATTCTCTAAACTGCCCACTCACCCCGTATCTCTATGGTGAATAAATTGATCTTTAGGAACTGAGCACAGTCGTTTCCCAGTACTTTGTGGCAATTTTACACTGTTTTGACAGAAAAGGGTCCATATCCTTTTCCTCTGAATGATACTGTACATTAACTCTGATACAGGCAGACAGATCAAGTTACCTCTGGACGCTGAGCGCAGAACTAACATCCAGCAGCTCGAGAACTGACAATACAGGCTGCTCACCAAGCCCCGATAAGCCCAGGATCAAGGCATTTATGGTAAATCACATTTCCATATTTTACAGATGAAATTAGAAAAGGTAAGTAACCAAGCTGAGACTTGCATTCTTGTGTGGACAAATATAAATATTGATAATCTAAACCCACAACTCAGGAGCTACATACTGTAACACACACATGTACCTCACCGCGCTGGACTGGTTCATGCTGGCCTAAGAATTTTTGTTAAAATTAAACCAAAACAAGTCTATTTTTCATTTAAAACTACTGCAGCTGCAAGGCTGCGGGTGGGAGTGCAGATGTGCAATACGAAGAATTACCAAGGGGGAGTTTCTGAGGACATATTATGTTCTCACCAGATTCAGCAAATGCATATTTATATCCCTCCATACTCTGCTGTACGCCTCTGGGAATCCTAAAATTAACAGGACTTTTCTTAGGCAGGAGGTTATTTGTCAGGTTCTTGCCTCGGCAGGACCCGCTCCCAGGACGCCTTTTACTCCTGAACGGCCGATCAGATCCAAGCCAGGTCAGTAACAGAAACATTTTTCACCAGATGCTGCACTGTACGGAGGGAGCGCTGCAGGTCTCAAACCAGCCCTAAAAGGCCCAGCATCTGTCTGTGTAGCAAGAGCTAAGTGGGAAGATGTCATTAATTAGAGACTCTCGTTTGAAATCTCAGCGGAAGGGATGAGAGATCTCTCTGCCAGAGGCGGCCCTGGCAGAGCAGGATGAGCGCTGCCTGTGCAGAGCCTCCTCCCAGGGTGACTGGCCCCATCCCCTCCCCAGCACCCCAGAGCCAGCCCTGACACTACGGCGCTTAACCCGCGGCAACCCGGCACGGTCCGGGGGGCTTGCAAATGCCACGGAGTGCAAGAAGGGCTACACACCACCAGCCTTCAGAGGACACACGGTCCTTTCATTTTAATACCCTGTTCTAGAGGAGAGCATTTCTCATGTCCTTTGGTAAGTAACATGACATTTGCGGCAGGAGTCCATTTACTGGAAGATGTTTGCAAGTCCCTGTCGCAGCTCCCACAGACTTCCCTTTGTATTAACAGTAAGAAAAAGGTCCTGCTAAGGCCATAAGCTGCTTCCCTGACTCAAGAGGGTGAGGGCACTCTTCTTACCGAAAGGACCACACAGCCTTCCCCCTGTTTGGGCAGGGAAAACATAAACCCGCCATGTGCGTGTTACAGTGAAGCCCTTGGAGTGATAATGTCCCTGTCTTGTACCGCATCAGGCCATAAAAGACCTGGAGGGCTTCATCCAAAGACAATTCACTGGGCAAGGGCTGGCAAGTGCTAAAAAAACCCCCAACAAATCCGCTTGCTGATGAAGTGCAGAAATATTAAGCACACAATAAGGCAGCTGGACTCAGCCTGAAATGGGGCATAAGGTGCCGGTGCGGCTGTGCTGGTGTGCCCCAGCTGCTGGGGAGACTCGTCTCGGTTCCCTCCAGCTCTGCCCCGAGATTCACCACCCCCAGCCAGGATTTCCTCCTGGGGAGGCAGGCACGTTTCTATCAGGAGACCCCAACAACCTGATGTCCCCAAAGGAGTGTAATGATACATCACTGCTCCTGGGGCAGAAGCAGTGATATAAGCAGGAGATGGACACTCCTCAGCTCTGCCTGCTTCCACCCAGCGTGGGCAGAGAGCAGCATCCACGGGGACAGAGATACCACAGTCCCTGTAAACTCGTGCTCTTCCTTGGCCATCCCACATCCTAACAGGCAAACTCACCTGGAACATCATTTGCTTACTGTGTACATACACCTCCAAGATGACAGAGGTACTTTGTTCAAATTCATCTCTCCACCATCGCTTTTCAAAACGCTGCCTGTGGGGCTATCCAACCTCTTGCTGTAATAACTCGCTGTGTATTCCAGGTCTCGTCCCAGCTTACATGAGCTGATCAAATTCAGTTCCTACGCCTTTGTTTTAATATGGTGGGAATAGCCAGCTGCCCAGAGAAATCTCACAGCAGGAAACCCTCTTTCCAAACAGCACATTCAGTTCCTTTTGCCATGGGCCTTATTTTAATCCCTTTCTACTTGCCTGAAGTTCAGTTGAAATGAAGGGGGGAAAACATCTCATAAAAGACCACATCAGTTCTAAAGAGAAATAACATTACTGTTACCGGCACTGACCTGGAGAGTCGTACAGAGAGGCAGCCAGTCTCTGGTTATTAAAGAAAGAGGTTTACTGCCCAAGAGCAATGAGAGAGGATTGTTGTTCTAAATAATAAAAGCCATAAAACATTACCATGTGAAGGGATGCTATCCCCCTCTGCCTGCTTCCTCCATAGGCAGCCAGAATTAGGGACGTCAAGAATTACCAGGCTGTGACACCACACCTAACCTAACCAGGACCTTGTGGACTGCCGCAAAGACTTTGTGGACACAGAGAAACAAGCACGGAGGGACCATCCATTCTCTCCTCATCAAACTTCAGGGCTGGATTTTGAGCCATGGAGGCAGCAACTGTCCGTCTGCAGCAGCGGCACCACGCACACAGCAGCTCTGCAGAATGACTGGAGGGACTGCCCGGGAGTCCAGGCTCGATGCTCCTTCAAGAACAAAGATACTCTGCCGACGCTACAAGGAAGGAAAAAATGTAGGGCCTGTCTACACAGAATTATTGTGGAATAGGTCTTGTGTGTTAAACTCGTATACTCTTATTCCAGAATTGCTTTCTTGTGAAGACAAGCCCTCAAAGGGGCAACCCCACTGGTTTTCATTTCAGAACCTCACCTGCCTGAAACCACCCAGACGCTGCTTCTGTGGTTTTATGATGAAAATTTTCCTGGTATTTTTGAGAGACAGA